CTCAATCAGATTTAAGTCTAGACTTTGACTAGGCCACTCCAAAACCTTAATTTTTTTTGAGCCATTCAGAGGTGAACTTGCTGCATAACCCAAGTGCGCTGGAGCTTGAGGTCACAAACTGATGGCTGGACATTTTCCTTCAGGATTTACTGATAGAGTGCAGAATTCATGGTTCCATCAATTATGGCAAGTCGTCCAGGTCCTGAAGCAGCCCCAAACCATCACACTACCACCACCATGTTTGAATGTTGGAATGATGTTCTTTTTATGACATGCTATGTTAGTTTTATGCCAGATGTAACGGGACGCACACCTTCCAAAAAGTTAAACTTTTGTCTCGTCGGTCAACAAAATATTTGCCCAAAGGTCTTGGGGATAATCAAGATGTTTTTTGGCAAATGTGAGACGAACCTTTGTGTTCTTTTTGGTCAGCAGTGGCTTTCGCCTTGGAACTCTCCCATGGATGCCATTTTTGTCCAGTCTCTTTCTTGTTGTTGAATTATGAACACTGACCTGAGGCAAGTGAGGTCTGCAGTTCTTTAAATGTTGTTCTGTGTTCTTTTATGACCTCCTGGATGAGTCACTGTTGTGATCTTGGAGTAATTTTGGTAGTCTGGCCACTCCTGGAAAGGTTCACCACTGTTCCAAGTTTTTTCCATTTCTGGATAATGCCTCTCACCATGGTTTGCTGGAGTCTGAAAGCCTTAGAAATGGCTTTGCAACCCTTTCCAGACTGATACATGTCAATTACTTTGTTTCTCAGCTGTTCTTGAATTCCTTTAGATCGCAGCATGATGGTTTATTTTTTTTTTTAGATCTTTTAGTGTGCTTCACTTGGTCAGACAGATATTTAAGTGATTATTGATTCAATTGTTCTGGCAGTAATCAGACCTGGGTGTGGCAAGTGAAATTTAACGCTTTCTAGAAAATTTGGGTAATCACAGTTCATTCATGATTTAGCAATTGGGGGGCAATTACTTTTTCACATAGGACCAGGCAGGTCTGGACGGTGGTTTTTCCCTTAATAAATGAAATCATCATTTTAAAACTGCATTATGTATTTACTCGGCTTATCTTTGTGCAATATTAAAATTTGTTTGTCTGAATCATTTAAGTGTGGAAAATATGAAACAAAAAAATCAGGAACAGTGCAAATACTTTTTCACGGCACTATAAATAAAGCAGGTTTCCAGAGTAAAATTTATATATGAAGACTATTTATGTGACAAAGATTCATCTACTGCTTCAGGAAATTGAATACGTTTCAAAAGCATGTAGTGCAATTTCTATTTTACTGTCAAGTTAATCAGGCTGAGGAATTCTATCAAAAGACAGTGATGGAGCAATAGATATTTTAAAGTGTGCATTTCTCACAAGAAGTGAGATTGATAGTTATATCTGTCTGCGTTATGGGCTTGACTAATGTAAAGAATTAAGCTTTCTTTACATGCACAGATCAGGCCACTTGACAAATCATCTGCTTCACCTAATCTGCAGCAGATTTGGGCATCCACATCCAAACCTTATAAACATGGGCACTAGGTATTAGCCTAAATACAAATACTGTTCAGGTGGCCCTGAAAGCAGTTGTACAAGTGCAGTATGTTGGTTAAAATGCAGCCCTTATAGGATTAATCCAGAGCCATATTTCGACTTTCTACACCCTTGTGCATCCTTCTTTACCAAAGTCAATTCATTAATCCTATTATCACACAACAAGATCAGACATTATAACCACAGAAAAGCAGGTTGAAATTAAAAGGGACACAGTACTATGTTAGTACATCTAAAAGCAACAACTAAATGTTTAAGGCAAATGTAATCTTGCTCTGCTACCAGGTTCACTCTAGATCTATAGACCCAGTAGGTGAACTGTCTTTAATCAGTACACTATACCACCAACAAAATAAACAGCGTGCATTTAAAGCAATATTTTGGAGCTAGCTGTGTTGCACAGGTAGACAGGAACACAACATGATATTTGGGTCAGTGCCAGTCCATATACTAGCTGCTTGTTAGTAGAGCAAGTCAATAGTGACCTTTTCTGCAAATAATCTGCCTGTGCATGAGCACCATTAATCCCATTTTAGCCATAAAGAATTATAATTTTATCTTCAGTGGCTAGTTTATTGTTGGCCCACTAGACCTCTTGTGTTTGCCTTTCTACGTATCACTTGGGAAATTCATAAAAGCAGGCCACGGGCACATAGGGAACAGGCTAATGAATCAGCTTTAGGAGGGGGTGGTATAAACGATAGAATGTCCATACCAAACACTTAGTCCTCAGTGTAGCTCAGCATTGCTGAGCTCTCTCCCTGGCCACTGAATCCATCACATAGACAGGTGCATGTCTGAGGAGTTTTGTAGTTGGGTGGGTGAATCCTGATGGGTAACCAAGAGAGACTGATTCCCTATCAGGTCCAGATTGCCTGTAAGGGTGGGTATGAATTTGAGTGGATGGAGTCTGGTGGGGAACTCTGGTTTCAGGGAACAAAACAGCTCCTATATAGCATGTCTTCAGCTATTTTGCCAAAATGTCAGAGGACAAATGTGTCCATCTGGGAATCACTACTGATGGCTGTTACTGCAACTTTTATATTTAAGCTAAATCTGACCCTACTGGATGGCCCCTATTATTCATTTGTGTGTAGGCTTCTACTGGGTGCTATTTATCTTCTAAGAATAGGATATTTACCAGACTGCTGGCCCATTGACAATCTTAGGGTGCTCTACTGCTCTTGACCTCCTTTTCCTTTTTGACTTAGGGACTTTTTATCCTCTGCTGTATATCAACTTGGTGTACATCTGCATATACAAACTCTATATACGGTATATTGGTAAGGCTCCACAGATTCCTGATGAAGCAGGTGGCAACCCTGTGAAACACATCAAAGATGACTCCAGGGTTAGAATTCAAACTATATGATCTTAAAGAATAAACATTTATACTAATAGGTATTCACATATTTACACTCTGGGGTAATGTATGGGTAATGTCTGTGGTTAAGCTCTTGTATAGTATGTACAAAGTATAATGGTGTCTTAAGGCTTGATACCCATGCTTTTTATTGTGTACACTGTTTTAAAAGCGTTAACATGAATCAAATACATTTTTGTGAGAAAAATAAAACACTGAGTTTTTATACAAATGTTTAATTGTATATTTATATGTACAAGTCACACCTGAAAAATTCCTCTTTTTTTTTTTTTTTCTGTTGGTGGATGTAATTTTGGAGATGTGGTGCAGTTAAATTCATTACTGGTCACTTCCATGGTTCTAAGGTACTCTCCCACATTTCAGGAGTGTAGCCTGGTAATGTTCAGGAGGTAGGGCTTGCATAAGCACTTATCTTCCTTTCCTGGCCTGTCAGACAACATGCTCAGATATGGGTCTGGTATGAATAGCATATGATAAGACAAAGTGAGCGCTCTTAATATAGCAGCTGTAGCACTAAAGGTAACCAAAATAAACCTTTGATAAGACTGTATAAATAGAGAGTGCAGCGCTTGTAAAATAATTAATCAGATAAAAGATAAAAAGTTCATATAATAACACCTCAAGAGAGGGGTGTTGGTCTCCCCTCTGATGACGTGCGTGGCATGAAAGGCCTAAGGAGGAACTAACACACCGTGACGTCATTGCCTCCGGCGCCACGTGCAGGCCCGGCGGCCATCTTTAAAATTGGGTTAGTTCTGCACACTCTGCATTATTACCCTGTCTTTTATAATATATATCCTGGAATAAAGTTTTAAAAAAACACTACACTATGGGCACTTTTTTTGTGGCTCCCTCCTGGAGCTATTAAGCCTACAGATGACCCCCTCCAACCAAGTATCCAGAGGAAGGGAGCCCTGTAACCAGGCTGAGCACCCATCCATCCTAAAGGGGACCTCTGGACCAGCAGATTTCTACCTTAGCCCCAAGACCTACCACTGTGCTGACCAATTCCTAGAAGGAAGTTCACCAGATGCCTAAAACACCCTGCCTGCCTAAGTGATCCATGGTGGATATATTTACATGCGCATTACCTATGCGCTTCTGGTGAGTGCGCAATTTTACCGTTGTTTCCAGGTACAAGCTTTTTGAACTCTGCTATGGAGGGGATCTTTTACCTACACCTGTTATATGAACTTATATGAACTTTTTATCTTATTAATTATTTTACAAGTGCTGCACTCTCTATTTATACGGTCTGGTATGAATGTTTTGGGGGATCTCATGCTTTTTTTCTTAATTTATGTGTGGTGTTCCCCCTTAAAATCCATAGCAGACCGTTTGTTAACAAACAGAATGGAGGGACCAAAGCTGTAATTTTGCTGGCAATATAAAGTAAAAATGTACGCAAAGCTTTTTTTTCCATTTTGGAAAGAGCAAGGAAGGATTATAACCTCTGTCAGATTTTTTAGCCATCTGTGTCCCATTGCAGAGATTTCCATTCACTTCCTGTCCCATAGCCAAACAGGAAGTGAGAGGAAATCCAAGCAAATTAAGGGAATCCCTTGAGGCCACCCTGGTCACCAGAACTAGTGTCCCCGTTGGAAGATTTCCCATCTATTACTTTTCTGGGGACAACCCAAAATTTGGACTTTCTTTTTTCTTTCAATAATGGTAAACAGGACAAATAGGGTGAATCTCCCTAAGGGGGGCACAGGCAGCAGTAAAAACTGACAAGCATTCTAATCCCTCTCCACTCAATCCAAAAGTAAAAGATAAAGTTTTACCTTTAGTTATACTTTAACCACTTTCCTTGACCAATTTTCAGCTTTCAGCGCTGTCACACTTTGAATGACAGTTGCTTGGTCATGCAACATTGTACCCATATGAAATAGTTTTAGAATTTGTTTTCACACAAACAGAGCTGTCTTTTGGTATTATTTAATCACCACTGTGTTTTTTATTTTTTGCATCATAAACAAAAAAAGTGCAAAAAATTTGAAAAAAAAAAGTTTTTCTCTGTTTCTATTATAAAATTTTGCAAACAGGTAATTTTTCTCCTTCACTTATGTGTGTTGATGAGGCTGCACTGATAGACAGCACTGCTGAGTACTGATAGGCAGCACTGATTGGCACTGGTGAGGTGGCATGGATAGGCAGCACTGATGCGCACTGACAGGCTGCACTGATGAGGTTGCACTGATGAGGCGCCACTGGTGGGCATTGATGAGGAGGCACTGATGATACTAAACTGATATGCAGCAATTATGGTCACTGATAGGCGGCACTGATGGGCTACACTGATGGGTGACACTGACTGACGGAACTGACTGGCAGCACTGACTGGCGGCACTGTTGGGCACACCTGCTGGGGGGCACTGATGGGTAGCACTGGTGGGTAGCACTGGTGGGAGGCACTGTTGGACGGCACTGCAGGGCACTGATCACCAGTGCCCTGATAATCAGTGCCGATCTGCTCTCTGACAGCTGCCAGTTATCGACAGTACTTTCCTCACGCTGTGACAGGGTGAGGAAAGTGCTGCTGATAACCAGCAACTGTATTTACTCCATGATCTGCTGTGTCATTGAACACAGCTGATTATGTGGTAAAAGGCTGCTGTGATTGGCTTTTTACCTCATCATGTGATCAGCTGTGTCCGTAGGACAGGTGTGCACCACTGGGGGCACTCCCAGAACTGGGTAACCACGCTGTAGTCATCATTCGGCTATATCGCGGTTAGCAAGTGGTTAAACACTTTTTTCTTTGTAAACATCAGTTTTTTTTTTGTAGTAGGTTGTATACACCATACAGATGCATCACTTCACAGGCAGATTCATGTCACCACCCAAGCATGTTATTTATTGCAGTTTTGTGTTTTTAATGTTTCACTTTAAGCATTATTAACATTGCTGCTCCCTGCCAAATATTTTTTTTGGCATGTGTAGTGCAGACCTCTTAACTGGTCCTCCTGTTTTAACTCAGGTTCTGATACCAATTTGGTGCAAACAGGCAGTCACAGGGTATTTTCAGTCAGGTGCACAAAGTTCCACTCAGTCCTTCACACAGTTATCAGGCATATAGTGCCTTTTTGTGGTTTTTATTTGTGCTGTAGAACTGGGATAGGGATTGAGGAAAGCCTTTGGATATGCAGAACTAACAAACTTGAAGGAGGACACTATCTAGCAAACAGTTAACTAAAAGTAGCAAAATGTCTTCTATACGAAAAGTAGCAACAACTCAGCACAGGGAACTTCTACCATAGAAACAACCCTGGCAGCAGGTCTGGAACAGTCCCTCTAGTAAAAAGGGCACAATAGCAAAAGTCTCTTTCACAGGATTTCTCTCAATCTTACTCACTGTGTCACTGGGTATCTGGATGCCTCCTTCCACTTTCAGCTAAAACTGCACCATGAACCTTCTGATAAGATCTTCTTTAGAATTGCCTGGTTGTTCATGTTACTTGGGGGTGATCCTTCAGCTTGTTGGTAAGCCAGAATCATCCTGAGCTTCTCAAAGCCGTGGACAATTTAATGGCACTTTCAGGCTGGGTCACTCTCCAGCAGGCAAAGAACTCTGCTGTTCTCTCCCCAGTGTCCTACATACACCTCTCATCCCCCTGCTGGTCACTCTCCTGACCAGGGATTGGCTGAGACTGCATACAGGGCCAGCCCAGACTCTACCCTCTCCATTCCAGTGCTTTCTGGAAGGACAATTCAGCTCCACTGGCTACAGCAGAGCCAAAAAAAAAAACTACATTTACCTAAGAACTACCTATATTAACACCTAACTAGGAGGGTGTTCATTTGCTTTGGCACATGATCTCCAGGGCATTGCCCAGAAAAACGGCAGTCCTGTTTTTTAATATTTGGCTTCCAATAACTTTAGTGGGGTTCAGATTTGGCATTCGAACGTTTGTTATGTTCACTGAACCCTGCTTAAACTGGACCTAGGTACTTACAGGAGAGAAGAGTGAGGACCTTATCAGTGTGCCACTACTGCTCCTCATTGTCCATTCAGCAAGCTAGGACAGACTGGGGACCAAGCTGTAGTGCTTAGCTGCAGTAAGGAAAAGTGAGGTCACCAAATGGTTGAACAGAATTACAAATATTTTGGAAGGAAAGGCAGTCCATATACATGTATTTCAAGTGTGTATTTAACTGTTTTCCCATAGTGCAACTTTAACTCTTTTACTGCCATCGGCATAGCTACTGTGTCAGTGGAAGTAGTGACATGTAAACACACTTAAGGCAGCTGTTGCAATTTGTTTACATTTTTAGAGCACACTGCAGGCTATATCCTAGAAATGATCAGACCCCTTAGTGAAAGCAATAAAATTAATTTTAAAAAATGAAAAAAAATTACAGAAAAACTTTAAAATAAAAAAACAAAAACAAATTAAAGCCCCTACACATACGCACACGAATGCCAATATACAGTTCACATGTACACATAAGCTGTGCATGACAGAATGACAGGAATAATTCTAAGGTCATCATTTATGGATTTACTCTAAGCTGATTATCTGTAATGGCTTTTGAAGGCCTGCCTATTAACAATTTTAAGTATCATAGTTTGTTGCCATGTTACAGGAGCACGCAGTTTAGAATCTTGACATATTTGTTATCTATTTACTCAAATCTAACTGACCTTTTATGTTTTACAGAAAATGTGGAGATTTTATTGTGTTCATGACAATAAAACTAGTTTAGTTGTAATTTTTACTGAAAATTTACATTTCATTGTGCAAGTATCCTGTGACAAAAAAAAACACTGCAACTGCCACCATTTATTCCACATAGTCTCTGCTTTTAGAAAAGATGCAATGTGTTGGGAGTTAAGTAATGTTTAGACCTGAAATGTGCATTTTAACTTGTGCAAAAAATAAAAAAAAAAAATGTTCTGGCAGTGAAAGAGTATTCTTTACTATTAATATTTGTCAACATTTGTAAGTATGGCACTAAAATAAAGCCGTGCCTTTTTACAGTGCCACAGTGAGAGTGTTGTACTAAAAAAACAACCTCATACAGTAAAGTGAGGAAATGAAGAATGTTTCCAAGAAGGAAGAGACAACATTTGACAACAGTACACTGCCAATGTTAAAAAGCTAAGGAATCAATTGAAATTTCCTAGTAGCAGACATGTACGATTTAATTAGACGGTAATCATTCAGGAACAGGATGTTTCCTCAGAACAGCAAAATCAAGAACAAATGATGAGTGCCGTTCCTTATTTCTAAGAAACATGATGACTTCTCAGGTGTCTTAGTTACCAGAAAAGGTTTTGTTACACAAAGATAAATCTCAGAAAAAAATCTGTATATCAATAGGAACAATGACATACATAGCAATCAATATATAGGATCTTCTTAGAAATAATAAAAAAAACCCAGAACTGACATATGTCATAAAGTAGAAGTATTTATGCACAATAGCATAAAAAATGGACTGTTCAGGTCTCATGCACACTGAGTTTTTAGCCCCTGTGCATGGGATTGGGCCATTTTTCTGCAGGAAGAAGGCACAGGTGCTCCGTCCAGCCCCACTGCCAGCAGCCTGTAAAAGTCTATGAGATCCTGAAAGCTGAGAGGCAAGAATCTGTGTTCTAGACATCCATCCTTGGGTGCATATGATCCTAAATGTTAGTACAACTTGATACACCCTCTAGTCACGCAACTTTCAGCCTCTCATAGACTTTTACAGACTGGACAGTGCAGCTGTGCCTTCTGTCAGCACAAAAACACCCGAATATCATACACATGGCTAAAAGCCCACTGTTCATAAAACCTAAAGTGGGGTACACACTGTGAGAAAATCAGAGGTAAAACTTCATATGAGGAACGATTGTTTGATTTTTATATAGTGTGTACATTTTAAATACATATAGCATGAACCAATTTGCTCTTGCAGGGAAAAAAATTTCTTCCTGATCCCCTGAGAGGCAATCAGATATTCCCTGGATCAACTTTACCTATAAATGTTAGTATCCTGTTATATTTTGTGTATCCAAGAAAGAATCCAGGCCTTGACCCAACTCTTGAGGGAGTCTATTCCACATTTCACAGCTCTTACTGTGAAGAAACGTTCTGTGTTTGGAGATTAAATTTCTTTTCCTCCAGATGTATGATGACCTCAGGGTGAATAGCTCTACACCGAGTTCACTATATGAACCACTGATGTATTTTATACATGTTGATCATATCCCCCCTTAATCTCCTCTTCTCAAGAGAGAATAAATTCAGTTCCTCTAATCTTTCCTCAAAACCGATCTCCTCCATGCCTCTTATCAGTTTGGTTGCCCTTCTCTGCACTTTCTCCAGTTCCCCAATGTTCTTTTTGTGAATTGGTGCCCAAAACTGAACTGCATATTCCAGATGAGGTTATACTAATGATTTGTACAGTGGTAATATGTAATCCAATTTAGACTTTCCAAACAAAAATTTCCAAATGTACGAACTCCAAACTTTTTCTTGTACATGAAGAGAGCTAAAGATTTTCATTCAATGTACTGTTGTTTTATGCTTTTCTTGCGAAAAAAATTGGATACAAACGACTGCATATGGTCAGAAACAATTAACAACAAAAAAAAGCCTTTGTCATTTGAGAATTTTTGTACAATTAGTACCATCCTTGGTTTTGACCTGCTGTGAATACTCGAGGAAAACTGGACAATCGTTTGTATGATTTTCTTAGTGTGTATACTTTACATCTGATCAGGTGTTAACTTTCATAAAGAACAGCCACTGTTACTCTCTCTTTCTTCAGGATGATGGGTTTTGTACGCATTTTCTGTAATTTTCTGCAGGGACCCTATAGTGTTGTGGATAAATCTGCTAAGAAATACAACCCAAATGCTCAGACCAATGGCTTGTACAGCACACTGGACTTTTACGTAAGGTGCCTTGACCAATATACTACCATAATGTCCAGCTGTAACCATTTTTTTAATAGAGTGGAAAAGTAGTTTTTTTTGTTTTATATGTCTCTATTTGGTTTCTCTAGTATTTTCTGCAGGATGGGTGTCTGACTGCTCCAAAAGTGAATCAAAATCTCCAAAGCAGGGATAGGAAAGGGGAACATATACCAATCTGATAGATAAGAGTAGTAAAATGGGGATGAATTAAAACCTCTGTCGGGCTTTTTTTTATGCTGCCTGTGTCCCCACTATCCAGCTAGGAACAGGAAATAAGGGGACATCTCCTCTGTAATGAAACAGTAGAAGACTGGCAGATGTTCTGAACTATTTCCCACTCTATTAAAAATATAAATGTTTTGACTATTGGTTGATTGGTTTTTGGAATTTAATCAAAAATGCAGCGCTCAAATAAATTATAAAGTGAAAAAGTGATAATAAGCGCGCAAGGTTATGCGCTAACAAGTGGAATAGATGTGATGTCTTAATGAAGACGGTATGTAATATAAAGTGACAACAGTGTATCGTCTCATGA